TTTTAGGTGTTTAAGATCTATCTGTTGTGATGGTAATGGATTTGTTATACTAGGTACAATTAAAAGTGAGATGTTTGCCTCATAATTGTTTTGTGTGGATGAAATTTTGGTCGAGACTGTGTACTTAATATTAGTTTCTAATTGATTTAATGCAGTAACTGGAATATTAGTAGGGTAACGTTTTAATTGAAGTAAATTTGCAAACCTTTCAGTTATAAAATGAGCTTGTGCTCCTCCGTCTAATACTACGCGCGCTATGTGTTTTTTATTGTTTTTGTCAAAAAATGCAACTTGTGCTGTGGCTAATAATACCTGGCTTGAATGATTTGATTGTAAGTTATTCACTGAAATGGAAGGCTGAGGATCTGTAACGTTTTGATTTGAAATACCATGAATTAGGACAAACTAGTCCCTAAAACAATATCGAATTGATATACACCAGCAGTGTAAAACTGAAAACTACAAGATATTGTGGTATGCTAAACTGAAACTATAACAAAGATAGAAAATCACTTCAAACAGAGCAATGTAAATCATACTCACTCTTCCCAGCTGGTGATATAGTGCAAACACCACTATTAATCTAGAAAAAACTCCAAATATTTAAAAAATGAACAAATGCCTGCAAAAAAAGTATTTTGAAATATTTTGCATTAAGCATTTAAGATACAAAAGGAAATCTAATTTGTATTTTACATTGGAAATAACAAATCAAAAAAGTATTTGTATGTTGTATTTAAATACCTTTAAAAAAACATTTTGCACACCTCTAGTTGTTACTGAAGAAAATGTCTGAACTCAATCCCTTGGGGAAAGTCTGCAAAAAATTTGCTGCATTTCTTCAACTGTTACAGGTATCCCATGAATGTATAAAACTACTTATTGTATACATATTTCTTCTTAAATTATCAAGATATTTTGCAATAAAAATAATAAAATTACTTAATTTCCTTATCGCAGAATCTATCAATCTACTAAAAATTCTGACATATTTAAGGATTAAAGGCGATACTGTTTTGGGGTTTTAAGAAAAAATAAAAAATAAATATTTACGATTAGCAAATTGCTTCCTTCATTGTTTCTCCGTCAGTTTTAGAGTAGGTACCTATATACCTATTGTTTTAAAGACCCACAATAGATACCTACTCATAAATTTTAAAGAATGCATGATAGCTCAAAAATTAAGAATTAATGACAGTGGCACCTAGGACACTAACTACGATTGCCAATTTTCAAGAAGATAGGGCAAAAAGCGAGGTATTTTCACTAAACATAAAATTTAATTTTTTTTAGTGACCTGTGGATTACCCTTATAAGGTTGAAAGATTATCAGACATTTTCGAATAATGTTAGTTATAAGGACTTACCTTATCAATAATGCATATCAAGTTGATAACACTTCCTCTATCTACGTGATGTTCACCGGATTCCGTACCCTGGATACTCGCTTTTGGCACTACAATTTGCAGATTTACAAAATGAAATATTAAGCCGTTGTTACTTGAAATCTGCAACAAAGAATATGACATAGTTTAGTACAAAAAAAATTGAAAAAAGTCATTTCTAAAGACAATTTCTTATTTTCACAAGCTTATTGTCTTTCGATCTGTTTTATCTTATTACACAGGTACCTACATGATAGAATTTATTTTTGTTCTCCTTTTTTTTAACTTGTATACGTTTATATAGCCATGTTACGACTATCATAAGTTGCAATGGAGCAAAAATAATCCACCTTATCGATTTAATCAGCCTTTTTATTGCCTAGAACGAATGGGCACAAGCTCAACGATTTCAAGCTTAAAGGACTTTTGCCAATAAGCCAACCTGTACGATTTTTATCTTCATCTGTAGTTTGTTTTAATAATTTACACTTTTCACCTTTCATGGATTTGAAAGCGTCTTTTAACGAGTTTAAAAGTGAATATTTTAAAACATTTTTAGTTGTTGGTTAACAATTTATCGAAACTACCAAATATGAATTGCAATTGGTTTGGATATATCGATTTACAATTTCATTTTTAACCTTTATCGGCTGATAAAAATAAAAGAAATGGGTTTGAACTCCCTTATCGTTGAGTAAGGCCTTGGTGCTGTCCTAACTAGCATACCTGACAGGCATAGGTGCCATTGTCCCTTCTCTGGACAAATTTTATTTGTAAAATCCAATCATCTGAACCTTCCGAGTGAAGTATTTGAAATCTTTCGTCATTGGTGTAAGTGTAAACTCCTGATGATAAAATATGCCAGTCTCTTCGGCGGACCCACGATATTTGCTGGAAAGAAAGAAGGGTATATTAGATATCGCAATAAAAGCCTCTTCAAATCAAATACGGTATACAAGCAAGGAAATAACACGTTATACACATGTATAAATGTATTCAAATAAATAGGAGGAACAATTTTTAAAAGAATCTGCTATAAAAATAGGAACATCTTTTTTTTGAAGATTGTTTTTTTTATTTTTATTTTTTTTGTAATTGATTATTGCTTTTCAAATCAAGTCTGATATCCGTTCGATAGACAGGCCCATCATGAAATTCTTTTCTTTGATAAAACGCATGATAAAGCACGGAGACGAAACACGTGTCGCCCTTCGCTAAGGAAAGAAAATATCTTTCAAAACATACATACACCTACACAGAGATGAGTGAACATTCCTATAGCATTCTAGCATTCCCAACAGAAAAACAAACGAAATAAGAAGAAAAAAAATACATATATAAAGCCGCATTGGAGCAAAAATTGTATTCAGAAATAACAGAGTATTGCA